AACTATAAAACAGATTCACGTGAACATAATAAGAAAAAAAATAATTAAAATTTACCCTTCACATCAAGTTAACACATATATTTTTTTAATATTAGTTTAACTGATAAATTTTTAAAGAATAAGCAAAATAACATAATTATTATGCTACTATTATGCTCAGGCATCACACTGAAAATTTAATGAAATTGTACAAATTGGAGAGGTTTTTAAAAATCCACCTAAAGAGCGGGTGAATAACTAAATTTTTCAAAAAGTCAAAACCTAGTCTCTTCTAGGAAAAAAACAAATATTTCTATTATTTAACTATTCTTTTATTTTATTTTTTTAATTTTACGATTTCATCTGACGTGCTTTATTTCAGGTCTAAAGTCTAAAACAAAAATTGCTAAAGTTCGTTAACATTGATCTGAATAAGAAGTTTTTCTTTCAAATTTAAAATAGTAGAACATGGGTTCTCAACACGGTGCTCGTGGTCACCATTTTTCCTTTGTTACATACCCTAGGACCGTGACTACGTTACATGGTTACACATTTTTAAAACGACTACATGGTTTTAACATTACATGGTGAGGTGGGCGGGATGGCTGAGTGGGATAACGCATGTTATCTGTTAACCGAAGTTATGAGTTATAAAAAAGTTACGAGTTCGCGTCCCGGTGCCAATTGCGGTTTTTAACTTGGCATTAATCCTCTACCTTCACCAACTGGCCCGAGAAAACCCTGTATAGCCTAAAAGGCAAGGAAGGGAAGGACAAGAAAAAAGAAGAAATACATGGTGACAACTGTGGACTAGTGGAAACCCTCATTAGCATTTATCAGTTTGTAACACGATTTATTATTTGTTAAATGGTTTGAACATTACACGGCGACAATTGGGGACTAGTGGGAACTCTCAATAACATCAGTTTGTAACACAGTTACAAGGTTCTAACATTGCATGGTGACAACAGGGGACTAGTGGGAACTTTCAATAAAATTCATCAGTTTTTAGACGCTTTTGCAGAGTTCTCATCACTATGCCTGGCATTTATACTAATAGTGAATATGCCAATATGGTATTCGTGAAACGGTTTTTGCAATAGTAATGCCTTCAACCATGAAGTGATAATCAAATAGAATATTAACAAACAAGTCCATGTTTTAACGGCTTAGAGAAACAATAACACGTATCCAGTGTGGAAGAAAGTTGGCGAGCCTGTCTTAATACTCAAGATAATCACTTGGAACAACATTTAATATGAATATTAATGTTTACATATCATTAATAACATAGTTAGAGAACATATTAATTTATTTATTATAAAAAATAATTCATAACAATAAAAACATTTAAATGTGAAAATATTCTAAACTAAGATTTAATAGACATATTTTCTAGGGCTTTTTTTTTTTTTTTTTTTTTTTTTAAAATCCATAATTCATATTTTTAGTTAGGATACTTAATCTTGAAACATCCTGCCTGTCTGGTAAGGGAAAGTATTGCGATCATGAAAAATTTCTAATCCAAAGTTTTTTCGGAAATACACATTTAAAGGTCCCCCAAATCCAAATAACAAAGTCTAACAAAAAAGGCCTGTGTAAATATCAACAGTATAGTTTAAACAAAAAGTCCTACATAATTGAAATTATAATACATATTTAAGTTATATGCTTCAGATATTACAGCATATTTTTTTTTCTCAAAAATTAGATAACCGAAAATGGTACTTTGTATCATCAGTTTTAAACATTTTGACAATTTCTCGAAAACAGCTCCAATGATTTTGATTTTGATTAAACTCAGTATATCAATGTACAATTAAATGTTAAATTTTCAAAATGTCTGCCTCTAAAATGTCTTTAATTTGATTTATTTAAAATAAATAACTGCTTCTTATTGTTAGTAATAACAAAATATGACTTAATATTAATAATGAAAGAATTTGATAATTGGCTAAACGAGAAATAATGGAACATTGTTTCTTCTGGTTGAAAATGAATTTCCAGAAATAAGTTGTAATATAAATGTATAATAAATTGTTAGAAAGCAGCGAATTTTAGAAAAAATTATACCTACTATTTAAAGTTATAGAAGTTACTGAACAGTGACAAAAAACTATTTATATATTTAATAAATATAGGCCTGGTGATGTTATATGATGATTGATTTTACATATTTTCATTGATAAATTATTTTATATTTTCATTGCAAATATTTTATTGTTTTGTAAATTAACATTTTACTAAGTAATAATTTATTTTAATAATTAAATATTATTAAAATATCATTTCAATTGAAATATTTAAAACCACTGCAGCTAAAATGACACTACTGATTAACAGTAAAACCAAATACCTTAATGCGAATCCCACAGTGTAGAATCAGGTAACAAGAATAATAATTGAAGGGCAGGTAATTGAAAAGGTTGAAGAATTTATATACCTTGGATCACAGGTAAACAAAATGAATGATATTAGTAAAAAAATCGAAAGGAAAATAGTAGCAGAAAATCAGTGCTATTTTGAACTACAGAAACATCACCGAAGCAACCTCATAGTGAAGCCATAAATTCAGATTTATAAATCTCTAATCTGATCTATACTGACTTATGCATAGGGAACATGAACCGTTACTAAAGCTCAAGAACCTTCATTACAACATTATGAAAGAAAAGTTCTGAGAAGAAATTATGGGCCATTTTTTTCAGAACGGCGTATGGAGGAGAAGAACAAACGCAGTGAGAAGAAATTATGGGCCATTTTTTTCAGAACGGCGTATGGAGGAGAAGAACAAACGCAGAACTATATGTAATGTACAAAGATGTTGATGTAATCAAACACATCAAACTAGCAAGGCTGCGCTTGTCTGGGTATGTTGTGAGGATGGGAGACAAAAATATTTCTGCCAAAGGTGTTCTGGAAGCAAATGTTTCGATTTCGTCGCTAAGGCAGACCACAGCTTTGCTGGGAAGCTTCAGATGACCAAGCTGTACTTGATGTCTGTAAATGGAAGGCAGCAGCACTCGAAAGAGAAAACTGGCGATGAATATTGAAGCAAGCCAAGACTCAACTTAGCGAGTCGTAGATTGAATGGAAAAAAAAATTAATTCTGTAATATACAATATTTATTTTAAAAATAATATATTTTATGATACATAAGTTTTTAAGAAATCTAATAAAAATGAAGGGATACATATAAATATAAAAACCAGCCTTTTAAACACTACAAGCAATAGAGACATCAGTAATACTGACTTTTAAACTTGTTCAAGAAAACACAATTTTTTTGGCATATAAATATTTTAAAAAAGTAACCTGGCTTTATTAGAACTGTAATAGTTTATTAATGAATAATTTTAAAAATACAATTAGATTAGAAATACTAATTACTGAAAAAAATGTAGTTTATCATAAAAAAAATTGATGAATATACCATAATAAATAAGTTCGATGTTGCATATGTGATAAATTATGATTCTGAATTTGACTTTTATATATTCTAAAAAGTATTTATTGACTAAGAAAACGGTCCAGGGTAGTGGTCATAATTCTTACTCAATAAAACACCACGGTCAACCATCAAGTATTCAATATGTCTTAAGTCTAAATAAGTATTTAATATTTTCAATATCAAAATGGTACTTCTGACTTAGCCGGTTGTCACAGAACCTTCCTTCTTATCTCGTGTAACCTCTTATCTTCCCATCACTTGTGTGTTATTCAATTGTTTTCAATTTTGTATATTTGTTTTTGTTATTTTCTATTTAAAATGGATATACACTTTGGGAACTGTCATCTTCGGAAGAAATTGTCGAATACTTTCAAAAGTTTGGGGCACTACCAAAAGTGAAATTGCGTGAAAGTCATGAAATAAGAAAACAGACGAATGTTTCATGGTAAAAATAAATGACAGAAAAGCAACAACTCCATTAGAATTGTTAGAAAATGTATTAAAAATAATATAGAAGAGAGAACCACTAAACATTTTAATTTTTGGAAAGTATACAACACCCAACAAGTAAATGAAGCTAACTACAACCAGTTTCAGATGAATCACCGGTATACCTTTGTTGATCCTTCAGGTAGGGTCCATACTTAACACAGAAAGATTTAGGTTTGGCGATCAGCTAACTGGAGAAATAAAAACATTGAGGAACTGTGAGGCAAAACCTGAATTCTTACTTATGTGAATTATTGTGATGGCAGGTCCACAGAGAAGAACCCGTCCCTCGCTATTTTAAATAGCAGTAAGCTATTTTGTCTCCCTAAATAAATAAAACGTTCTAAAATAAAAGTTCTTTACATGTATGTATAAAGTATGTACGTATATATGTTGTATGTATAAAGTATTATGTTATTTCTTTTTGCCTATTTCAATTTCCATAAATATGAACACGAAGATAGGTATTATCAGTGTTTAGATTATAAACATTGGCGGATAACAGTCCGTGGTGACCGGCTAAGTCATAAGTACCCTCAAAAATAACTAACAAATTGCTAGATGGGATACATACTACATCCGGTATTTAATCTAATATTCTTCACTTAGTGTTAGTAGGATTAACTTTAATTTTGCACAAATTCTTGAGCGAACAACTCTCACAAGGTAATTCATGTTCAAAATTTATTATTTTTCAGGTAATTTTATAAGGGAGCAGCATTGCTGATCATGCTAAACATGCATTGCCCAACAACCTGTTAACTGAATATAACTTGATAAAATAATTACAAGGTCACGTCCCTGTACCAGGGGAGCTTTAATTAATGAAGTTACTGCCCTGCCCTCTACCCAGGCCCATGGAAGAACACTGAGTAGTCTAAAAGGCAAGGAAGAGAAAAAAAATTAAAAAAGTTAATTTTGTAGACATAACATGCTTCAATATCTGACAGCCATTACTGCAATTAACATCAAAAGGTCTTTGAAATACTACACGAGTATTCAAATAGTCTTGAAAATTCCCATCTCAATATATCCACATGTTTGGTATGAACAGTAGTGAGACCTTTTAGAAATCTTTAACAAGTAACATTTTATTATTTTTTTCAGATAAATGAAGGTAAGATGATAAAAAATTCACTATTATTTCTTTCCATTCAAGTTTGTTTTTAAAATTTTTATAAGAATCCAACAATAATATTTCCTAAGAATGTGATTCACTTTATTTATAATTTGACCATCACAAGAAAATGTAATTTGTAAGGTAAGGGATAATTGATTTGCTTTGTTGAAAAGCGTAACAGTATGTCACATAATATTGACAAAAAAAATTTATAAGTATTATAGATGAATGATAATGGATAATAGTTGACTGTAGAAGATATTTAGAGAGAAGTTGGTTGGGGGGTCTTTAAGTCAATGAAAGAACAAAGGAAAAATAAATAAATTATAATTATTTTTGTCCTCTCTACCGACGTTTCAGCCAAAGCATAACATAAATATTGAGAAAAAAGTAAACAGTAATAGTAATAATATGTAGATAGAGTGAAGTAAACAAGTGATATAGTAAACAATAATAAAATAACAGTAACAACTTAATAAAAACTAAACAAAGAGATAAAGTAAACCATAGCAAAATAACAGCAACGACTTAATGAAAATTGAAATAACAAAGAAATGAAATGGAATATTAAACGATACAAATTGTAAGTGGTAAAAGTAAAATAAAAAGGATGAAATAGTTGCTATAAGTTGGTGCCCTTAATATGTTCATAGAAGAATAATGAAAAACAAATAAAAGAAAATGATGTTATATAAAGAAAATAAAAAGATGTACTGAAATCTATCAAAACAAATCATATACATAGAAATGAACTGAAAAACCTAAGTTATGTAAATTTAGAGAATAAGATACCAGTAAATACAATAATACATACAAATTAGTGATATAGATATGGAAAAGAGTAAAGAGAAAAAGGTGAGCGAGGTGGATAAGAAAAATGAATGATAATAATTAAACGCATCTGTTCATTCACAGGGTGGTGGACGAATACCAACAGCGGAAGTGGCAGTACCATCTGTAAAAAAAAACGCTGAGGTTCATAAACTAAAGCTCAGGGACGTGCATAATGTATACAATAATTATGTGTACAATACAATAATAAGTACATACTATGTTATGTGCATACTATATAAATTTATTAGAAATAGAATATTCGGAGATAATATAGTGCTAAGACACTATACCACAGGTGGGAAACATGCGACCTCAAGGCTTCATACGGCCTCCAAACATTTTGGCACAATTTTCATTATTCTAGTGCTAGAATCAAGTAATTTTAATTATTTAGGTTAAGAAAATTTGAAAATCAATAAAATTAAGCTAAATATGTAAATGTATATGTGTGTGTATTTACTTTTTAATAAAAATAGAAGGAAGTTATTCGACTGATTTATATATCATAAGTGATAAATAGTCAGGAAGCAGTCATTTTTAAGGTTTTTATTGGTGCCAACATTTCAACCCAATCATGCTTGAATTGAAACATCGGCATCAATAAAAACCTTAAAAATGATTGTCCTGATTATTGATCACCAATGATTAATAAAAATAGCAACAATAAAATATAAACAATTATTGTGGCCTAACCCTACTGTGGCATCTAATGATAAAAAGGTTCCCCACTTATTCACTATACCATGGCTGGAGAACCTTTTTATCATTAGAGGCTACAGTAGGGTTAGGCAGTGCTAATGGAGCCCACAATATTGTTTATATTTTACTCTTGATATTTTTATTTTTCATTAAATACACACACCCAAATACATACATTCAACTTAAATCTATTAATTTCCAAATTGTAGTTACTTAAATAATTAAATATTAATTAATTCTAGCACTTGATTAATAAATAATCACACAAAGGCTGGAACTATTCCACAGAGGCCACGGCTCACCACCTATGCACTATACTATCTCCAGACATTCTATTTCCATAACCATTTATTTAGTATGCACATTACATAGCATGAACTATAATAAATGTACAATTATGGACCTCTCTGGGCATTAGTTTATGGGAGCCTCAGCACTTACCATTACAGATGGCCCTGCCGCATCCACTGTTGGTATTTGTCCAAAACCCTTCATACGAATAGGTGCATTTAATTATTATCATTTATTTTTCTTATCCACCTAACTCACATTTCTCCCTTTAGTTTTTCCATATCTATAACACTATTTTATTAAGTTGTTACCATTATTTTATTATTGTTGACTTTATTACTTTGCTTACTTCATCACACAATCTACATATCTACAATCTACATAATTAGTGACTACTTTTTTCTCAATATTAATGTTACCTTCTGTTTGTTTAGCTATGATGATGGTCTGAAACTAGGGCCAAAATAAATATAATTTATTTATTTTTACCTTGTTCTTTCACTGACTGAACATACCAACCAACTTCTATCCAAATATTAAAGTTAAATTTTTTCTATCTCGACATCAAAAGTAAAAAGTTCCAATTATTCAAAAAGTATCAGAAAAAAGTGGTTCTAGGGGAATTCTTTACATTTACTTCTTTATTAATTCTTAATTCTTTACACAGGTCACTCACACGTGTTGTGATAAAATTAAAATTAAGTAAATTATTTTAACAGTGTATTAGAAAGTAATTCAAATACAAAAAATTTATTTTGATTAAAAAAATAAAACTGCATTGGTGGGCACAGAAGGTGGGTAACACATTAAATAGATCTTGACAATGAAAGATTTAATACTTCAAATAATAACAATTTAAGAGTAAATTTTAAATCAATTTTTTATACATTATTACCTTAAAATATATATATTTTTTATTTGGTCCTCCCCTTCCTCACCTTAAAGACTATACGGGGTTTTCCCGGACCAGGGGATGTGGACGGAGATTTAAAAGACTCCCCCGGCAACGGAACGCGAACTCATGACTATTTTGTCTCATAGATCAGGTTGCCGGGAAACAGCGATGCTGTGAACACACGTTAGCCCATTTGGCCACCCCGCCCAGCTTAAAATATTAAAAAATATTGTATTAAACTGAAATATTAACAATGGGAATTACATCTTACGAAGATTAGATATTCAGTAAAATAACCTTTACCAAACCATTTTTTTTTTTACAGATTAACAATAAAAGTTTTAGAAGAATTATTTTAAAGAGAAGGATGAAAACAATTGGTAAGATTGATATATAAATAATATACTTACTTCAAGAAAAGCAAAATTTTTGTCAAGATTGATCTGGCAAGCTAATACGGGATTTCCTGCAGCTTGTGCTAAGCCAGAAAGATGCATTTGCTGATTAAAAAACTCCATCATTTCATCCTGAAACACAGAACAAGTTAATATTAAACATATTGACATTTACATTAAAATCTTGTCTAATATTAATGATTAATTTAAAAGGCAGCTTATTTAAAAGAGATTTAAAAAAAAAATTAATTAAAAAGCATAATACTAATAATAGTCCAGAAACTGGCATGCGAAAATTCAACTAATAAAGATCAACCAAAAATTTGTGTAGAGTTCATAATATCAAGCCTTATTAAAAAAGACTAGAGCAGAAACATGTACACTAGAAACTCACAGTAACTAACTAGATTATCTTCAGAGTATTGGGCAGGTGTTTTTCCCAGCTTAACAGAGCTTCAATATTCATGGTCAATGCCAAAAAATAGCTTAGTTATAATTTTGCAATCAATTATACACAGGAAGAAATTTCATAAATCTGCCTTCTAAATCTAAAGCTCACTTTAGACCAAGAATTGTAATCAGACAATTACAGGTTATTGGTTTTTAAAAAATGGGGGGAGGGAGAAGTTCACAATATTTAATTACAATAAATATTTAAAATTTTAGCATCACAAATTTTTGGACCCTTAGCACTAAGATACTTATATAAGTAATAACAAACATTTCAGTTTGATAATAATAAGAAAACAGTGGTCCCAGATTAAAATTTTCAATGTTTTTAAAATGTAATAAATAATCAATTTTAAAACTCTTACAAAAGTCATTAAAAAATCATTTAATTTGGAATGTTAAGCAAATGAAAAACTAATAATCATAAAATAATAATAAACTACATTATCTTAAAATGCCTTATGCTCTATTAAAGTACAAAAAGAGCATCATCCATATTAAAAGCAAGCTAGAAATACTAATATAGCTAGAACCTACTTTTATTCATTAAATTATTAACTTATCAACTACATTCTTTACGGAAAAATAAGGTGAGCGTTGAATGTATGTCTGGACAGTCAGGCATTTCAGATAATGAGAAGATAAATAGGAATGATCTTATTAAAAAGGGCTCACAAGAGGCATCTAGGCTCAGAGCCTATCGATGGTTCAAGTTTCAGCAATGAAAAAAAAGTTGTAAGGTTAAAGCTTTTAAGATTATTAGAAAACTACTAGATTTAATTGGAAAACACTTGATCTAAGAAGGAAATGTTACAAAAAGAAGTGCATTACTACTCATGGAAAGGAGTACTCTAAGTAAGGTGTGTGATAGGATTATATATGGATCACTTTAGACTTAATAAACACCACTTCAATCTGGAGTTGAGCTAACAAACTGAGCAGTCAAAGGATGAAACCACCTATTATATTATATGTAGATGTGTATTTTAGCTCAGAGTTTAAATTAAGATACGGTGCATTCATTTTGGTTGTGACTGCATTGCCGAAAAGCTGTGTGAATGGATTGATTCTAACAGAACATACAAAGCCTAAAAGACTTTTAAACGAGTACATGAAGGCACACAACAGGCCTCAATGGAGGCCATGGCGCATTCATACCAAAAATTAAAAAATAAAACTCATTAACTTACAATTTAATATTAGTTTTATAAATCTGGAAGCTTATCAATTACCAATAAAAAAGATTTTAATATCAAACCTCTGTGACACCAAATGGAATGTTTCCAACATACAATCTTCTAGCTTGTCTAGTGATTGTAGAACCTACGACAGGTACTGCAGCTTGAGGTGTATCAGCGACTATATTAGCAGGTATCTGGCCAGCAGCTGTAAATTGCAACATTATGATCAAACATCAGGATTTAAGAGAAATTAAATCTCAATTTCATAAACTTTTAAAAATAATAATAATTTTTAGATTCCATGAGCAAAAAATAAAAAAAAACATGGAGTAATCACCTTATGAAAATTTCTTTATAGTACAAATACAAACCAGATTGTCAAGCTTAAAAATGATTGTAAAAGTTTAAATTTAGTTAGGAAATTTAACTAAGTTTCCATTACATAATTACAATTAATTTTAAATTACATATTTATAATAAACAATTAATGTTTACCTTGCATAGCTTTGTATTGTAGAGGGCTAATATGCTCGAAACCAGGAGGAGGGACATCCCAGTACAAAGAAGGCCTCCTTCTTCTACCTTTGTTCTTTCTTGGAGACCTTGAACGGCTTCGTTTCCTCTCATGTTTATTATCTCTGCTTCTACTTCTACGGTCTCTGCTGCGTGAACGGGAGCGTTTCCTATGATCTCTATCCCTTGATCTTGATCTCCTCCTCCGATCCTTATCTCTGTCCTTATCACGATCTGCAAAAAAATACATAACATCTATAATTTATAACCTTTTTACAAACATATTTTAAAAAATTACTCTAACTGTGGCATGGTCAGAATATTTCTAAAATACCTAATAATAAAAATAAACAATCAACATTATTTTAAATAAATTAATAACATTTTTGTGCAATTTAGTGGCCTCATGCCAAAGACTGACATCTGTCATTTTCAGGGAGTGCGAAAAAAAACCAATATCAGTTTTATAGGTTCAATTCAAACTGCTTCTGAAGCTTTATTTAAGAATGTTCAAGTGTAATTATGAAAAAAAATTATTCAAATTGGAGCTATATTACAAAAATTGGCTTTTTCTCAACTTTTTAAAAATAGCAGAACTTAGTTTTTTTATATGAATGATAAAATATGATATGAAGCCATTCAATTGTGTTAGTTACTTGATTAAATGTTTTTTAACTATATCCCAGCAAAAACTCTCACATAACATGTGATAATTATTCACTGGCAATGAAAGCACCTATGATGCTTTTAGCAATTATGGTTTATCTCGAAAATGTTTCATTTTAGGACTTTAAAATGAAAATGTCTGCATCAAAATCTTAAAAACATAATTTATCCAACATTGATCCATCAACTTTTGAAAAGCTTTTCCATCTTTTAATTGGTTTTAATTTTAATTGTAAGGTTTTAAGTTTTGAAATTGGAATTGGAGTTTAATAAATAGGCAATAAGACACATCTATCTCTGAACTTATAATTCATAGACAAAATCGAAGGAAACTATTTCAACACCTAAATAAAAAATTCTATTGAAATAGATTTACCATGGAGGTCTAAAGTGGTTTCCTCTACTAATTTTATTTTTACTATTCAAAATTTACTACTTGTATTCAGAATTTATATAGTATATTTGAGATATATCCTAGTGAACTTATTTAGTTTGATCTGTATGATGCCTTTTGGCATACTTTAATCCTTTGAGTGCATACGGGATACGAGGGTGGTCTTTAAAGTTTCCGACAGTAACGTTAAGATGGTAGCACTCGTAAATAAAAGCATGTGAATTTCGTTGTTCATCAGTTGACAGTTACTAACCAAAGGGGCGGGGTGGCCGAATAGGCTAAAGCGTGTGTAACAGCACCGCTAGTTGCCTGGCAACCGGATAACAGAGATTTGAGATGATATAAAAAGTACGAGTTCGCGTCCCGGTGCTGGAGGGGATTTTTAATTCCCCGCCCTCACCCCCCGGCCCGGGAAAATCCCATTACCAACCAAAGTTTCAGTCATTTTGGACGTGCAGTTTTTATGTAACAGTTGTTTGAGTGAGTTGATGTGAGTGTTTTTATGGAAATGGACAAAATTGAGTATCGAGCTGTCATTAAATATTTGTTTTTTATAGGCAATACACCTATGCAAATCAAAGATGAGTTGGATTCTGTGTATGAAGACTCTGCACCATCATTTACCACAGTGAAGTTTAAGGAAAATGAATTTAAATGTGGCCGTAAGACAATGAACGTTCGGGATGTCCAAAAACTGCAACTACTGATGAAAACATCGCCAAAATTCACCAAATGGTGCTGGACAACTGCCGAATTAAAGTGAGAGATAGCAGAGATTATGAACATGTCAAAAGAAGGCATTTGTTACATATTAAATCATCATTTAGATAAGAGAAAGCTGTCCGCATGTTGGGTGCCGGGTTTGCTTACATTATATTTGCACACTAAAAATGTGTTCGAATGAATATTTCCAACGCTCTGTTGGCCCAGTTTAGGCACAATAAATCAGAGTTTAGTATATATATATATGAGAAAATTCCTCATCAAAGGATATGCAACTCTTGCAATAGAATCAGAATCAGAAGTATCTTGATTATTTATTATCTATAATTCTGATTCTATTGCAAGAGTTGCATATCCTTTGATGAGGAATTTTCTCATATATATATATATATATATATATATATATATATATATATATATATATATATATATATATATATATATATATTTTTGGTGATATATATATATATATATATATATATATATGAGAAAATTCCTCATCAAAGGATATGCAACTCTTGCAATAGAATCAGAATTATAGATAATAAATAATCAAGATACTTCTGATTCTGATTCTATTGCAAGAGTTGCATATCCTTTGATGAGGAATTTTCTCATATATATATATATATATATATATATATATATATATATATATATACATATATATACTAAACTCTGATTTATTGTGCCTAAACTGGGCCAACAGAGCGTTGGAAATATTCATTCGAACACATTTTTAGTGTGCAAATATAATGTAAGCAAACCCGGCACCCAACATGCGGACAGCTTTCTCTTATCTAAATGATGATTTAATATGTAACAAATGCCTTCTTTTGACATGTTCATAATCTCTGCTATCTCTCACTTTAATTCGGCAGTTGTCCAGCACCATTTGGTGAACTTTGGCGATGTTTTCATCAGTAGTTGCAGTTTTTGGACATCCCGAACGTTCATTGTCTTACGGCCACATTTAAATTCATTTTCCTTAAACTTCACTGTGGTAAATGATGGTGCAGAGTCTTCATACACAGAATCCAACTCATCTTTGATTTGCATAGGTGTATTGCCTATAAAAAACAAATATTTAATGACAGCTCGATACTCAATTTTGTCCATTTCCATAAAAACACTCACATCAACTCACTCAAACAACTGTTACATAAAAACTGCACGTCCAAAATGACTGAAACTTTGGTTGGTAACGGGAATTTCCCGGGCCGGGGGGTGAGGGCGGGGAATTTAAAATCCCCTAATAATATATATATATATATATATATATATAAAATTCTCGTCGTATAAAGAAAATTCCACATCAAAGGATATGCAACTCTTGCAATAGAATCAGAATTATAGATAATAAATAATCAAGATACTTTCTAGGCCATTAGTATTTGGCCAGGAAAAGAACCCCCTTAAAAATATTTAGACAAATTTATAATTTATAATCCTATTAATAAATCATGCATATTGTTAAATATATATATAAATATATTTTTTTTATTGTTATTTATTTATATATTTATTTTATAACTAACTTACACAATTTCTATTCTTAGATATACAGGTCAACAAAGAAAATTGGAGGGCCTGAGATAGTGGTTGAAGTAGACGAGTATTTTTTCTAAACGAAAAAATCATGTATGGAGAGTTCTTCCATGGTTTTTGTTGGATGTTTGACGGAGTTTGTCGAGAAACAGACGAGTGTTTCATCGTAAAAATAAAGGACAGAAAGGCAAGAACTTTATTAGAATGTATTAAAGATAATATACAAGAGGGGAGCACTATTTATTCGGACTGTTGGAAAGGATACAACACCCAACAACTGAATGAAGCAAACTACAATCATTTCCAGATGAATCACCATTACAACTTGTTCCTTATAACAATTATCAGTGTTCAGGTAATAAATATTGGCAGATAGGGATTATCAGTGCCTTATCATTATTATTAGTGTTCAGGTTATAAACATTGGCAGATAGCAGTCTAATGTGTCCACGTCAGTCACAAGTACCCAATTATCTGTGGGCGGGGTGGCCAAATGGGCTAACGCGTGTGCACAGTACCACCGTTGCCTGGCAACCTGATATATGACCAATGTTATAAAAATAGTCACGGGTTCGCACCCCACTGCCAAGGCGTCTTTTAAATCCTCGCCTACACCCCCTGGCTCCAGAAAACGTCGTATAGCCTTAAGGGCGAGGGAAGGGGAGGATCCCCCCCCAAAAAAAAAAAAAAAAAGTACCCAATAATCTATAACTAAAAATAATATCATATTTATTCGTCAGTGATAGAAAAATAACCATGAATTTATGAAAGTACTGTCTGATTTCAGAATATGCAATTGCGCACCACGTTTTTGTAACTTTTCGGATTTGACCGATATTAGGGTCTATTATTATGTTTTTGGGAGCTATTTTTATGAAAATACTGTCCAATTTCAGAATGCGCAATTGCCGATCACGTTTTTGTAACTTTTCAGATTTGTCGATATTAAAGTCAATTATTATGCTGTCAATGTGATTAAAATATGAAAAACCCATTATTGCAGGAGAGGGGAGGAAAGAGACACCCAAATATCTTAGGATTATTAACAAAATATATTTTCTTTATATTTGTATTTCTACTTTACGAATCTGAATGTAAATTATGGTGAAGTACATCAAACAACTTTCATTTACTATTTTAATTTTAGTAGAAATTATTTTTGTAAAACTTCAGAAACTTTAAAATAATAGTTTAACTAGTGGACCCCTGCTAATAATGCACATAGTAAATTGACCAGTGAACAAATGACAAAATAATATAAAAAAACTTAATTCAATATATTATGAAACTCAATTTTTTTTTCTTAGTCAATTTATAATATTTCATCTACAATATTAAAACAAAACATATGAACAAATTACTATGGGCTGTATCTTTGGTAATAATGCTCAGATTTCGACAATCGAGGATGTAATCCATCATAAATTACATACTTCTTGAGTTGTGTAAAAATATAGTTTCTTTTTCTTCACAATTTTTTTTCTCTGGAATTTTGGGATATGATTACTTCTTCCCCCTTAAAGAAGATAATCTTTAAAATGATTAATAAATTGTTGGTCTTTATAAAAATTAACGAAGATATGGTGTACAGTAAAAAAAAAAAAATAATAATAATAAATTCTTTGTTATTTGGCAATGATGACTTCCAATTAAACAACGATTGAATTAATTTGTTGTATTTCCAAATAACATGTAAACATGTAATTTGGAAATATAACAAAGAAATTCAATTATTGTTTAATTGGAAGTCATCATTGCCAAATAACAAAGAATAACATACAACTTCCCAGAAAAAAAATAATAATAAAATAAAATCCAAAATCTTTGAGAAATAATACATAGTAGATATTTTAATTTTTATGTGATTAGAAATTTAAGACTAAAATCTAGGGCTTTAAAACTCAGGACTTTAGTATTCTTATTCACACTATAGAACAACACTGGATCATGATTTCTGCATCAAAATATTTAAAAGACAATTTAACGTGGCTCAATATGTTGACTTTTAATGCCATCTGCTTTGAAACCTCCTAGTTTTTCAATGACTTTTATTGTAATTGTGGCACGGTTTTAGTTTTGAGATTATGATTTGTCACTTCTCCATAAAATTTCCTTCCGTTTGATACTCCAGTCATCAAAATCCATTGCTAGTGAATGCCGGAAAAGGGATCTATACTACTGTATTATATATAGCGTAAATTATAAATAAAACTTACAACAATTTAATATAAATTATGACAATCTGAGCACTATACTATTGGTGTATGAACCTTAAAATAAATGTTAAAGTTTTCTAAGTGAACTACATATTTTTGTTTTTTAAGATGAAAATAATTAAGTTTTCCATTCAATAGTATAAAAGTAGACATTATTAACTACAATTAAAAGCCATTTTTTTTTGTGAGAAGCAATTATAATACTTTTACTAAGCCTTACACAAAGCATATAGTACTATAGAGAAAGAATGGAGATTTTGAAAATATTTGAATTGTTGATTGTGTGTATGTATGAACAACATAGCTCAAAAACAAAGATTTAAAATGCTGAAGTTACCCTTTTAAATTAGAAAAATACAGAGATGTTACAGAAACATTTTCGTTAGGTCACTTTACCAAACTTAATATAATTGGTTTTAAACATTTTTTTCAATTTTGGAAATAGTTCTAACAATTTTGTTAAATATAGATGTATGCATTAACATACACCTAAGTAGCTGAGTGTCTATAAACAACTTAATCTAACCTAACCTAACCATGATGTAGTAAGTAATATAGATCTGTGATATACTGTTGGAAAACTAAAGGTACTATTTTGCTGGAACTGCCCACCACGCGGACTGTTGGTATTTAAGCACTGCTTCAGAGAAATAGAAAAGGTACAGTTTCGCTGGTACTGCTCATGGTTTCTATTCTGAAGCAGTACTTAACTCCTAGCAACCAGTGCTGAGAGTACTACTAGCAAAATAGTACCTTAAAGATTTGAGAAAATAATTAACTAACATGTAAGGTAATAGAAGGTAAGAAAGAGTAATGAAAAGCTAATGACATCTAATTGTTGTAGTTAATATTGTCTACTATTCTGTTATTGAATGATAAATTAACACTTCCATTGGAAGCCCATTGAATTTCTTAAAAAAATAGATAAGTAAGATATAGAATAAATCTTAATAAATGAAAAAATATTGAATATCTTGTTACTGATATTGTTACTAAATTCATAAGAAAATCTAATAATATTAGAAACATAGATATATTTTATCAATACACAATTGTCATATCACATTAACAAAAATAAATGCAAAATTGATCTGCTAATGAATTTAAAAAAGCTAATTCGGTAATAACAGAGGAAAAATATATCATCACATAGACTAGAATTTTGAAAAAAAAATGTTAAATCTAAAAAAAAATCTTAACAATTTTCATTGTGGTACGAACAGGTTAGATATTAAATTACCTTTTTGGTCTTCACCCATTACTGTTCAATAAGGACGAAGCTCAACTTAGGAAAATATTAGTCCAACAATAATTATATAAAAGCACAAGCAAGATAATAAATATAGGAACAACTCCCTAATAGGTAACCAGACGCCGGAATACAACCTAAGACGCCATATTGATTTTAAAGTACAGCATTTACAAATAATACACAAGCGTATTTTTACTTACACATTAATGAGGTTATAAGCCAGATTCCACTATAAATAAAATTAAAGAACAGACAAATGAAATATGGCTTTACATTTCAAAATTATAATAATATACGATAATTAGGGTCATTAGAAGGCACAAATTAACATTTATATATATTTTTTGTTTTATATCTCTTAGCAAATACCAACATGTATATGTTTATTTCATTCCACACATGAGTGTATGTGATGGAATTAAATCGACGTGCTCTTTATGAAGATTGAACTTCATGAATTATGTTAACATGTATATTAAACAAAATAATTATTCGTACAACCTCAAATTTCACATATGTTATATTTCAACACGTCAAAAAAAGTTATGTAATTAAAATTGTTCAATAAATAATAATTTGTTATTTAACACCATACGAAGAACTAAAAAACTCAATTCTGGAGGTATACTTAGGAATCTCATAGCATTTCTCAACAACCACCTGATTTACAATCTGATTATTGACCTTATTAAAACAAATACCTGTTGGATATTTATTTACATACCCTATAGTTATCCATGTTATGTTATTGTTGAGTATAACTAGAAAGAATCTGTTGAACATCATATCTACTCGATAAATCCTATAGTCTAGCAAGGTAAAATTTAGTTGGCTAAAACATGATTTGATCAGAATAATTTACCATTGGGATGCAAGCGTTCTGTACATTTGACATAAAGAATCTAACTCTTTGCAGCGGAAAAAATGGCTTTTGTATAGGATTATATTAATTACACTAAGCGAAGAAAATGTGGTTGAAGAGGAGACTTTTTAACGAGGAAACCGTTGAAGCATGGCGGGTGATAGTTGGGATAGAGTTCCAGAGGGAGACAGCTCCGGTGAGGAAGGATTTGTTAAACGCAGCATTTCGGTTGGAAGGTGGGTAGAAATCATGAGGGCGGGATAAGGTGGGACGGGATTTGATGGATGATTAAATTACAGACTCTGTAGCATGTAGAATGGGCGCCGAGTTCTGATGACCTGAAACAGGCAGGACGCAAGAAAATACTGACACTTTTCAGATGAGTAGAGTGACTTTAGTTCGACATAATAGTTATTTGCGTATCTCTGGCGATCTGGAAAACACATCTAACCACTAAGAAATTAATAAGCCTTTTAAGTCTTGCTTCAAGATCTCCATAGAGTGAACCGTACACCAGAAAGCCTTAATCAAAGCGGAGGAACACAGTGGATGAAACCAGATATTGTCGAGGAAGTAAGGTATGTTACTGAATGTTTGAAAATGTATACATTCCGTCGGAAAATTTGGGAGATATGTTATTTCCATGAGAGGGTTTGGTCAAAGGTGACTCCAAGATTTTTAACTGAGGTGTGGAATGGTGTGGTTCAGGGTAAGGTAACGTTGACCTGGGAAGTATTTGAGGAGGGAAGAGAAGCTAATCATGATTAATAGGAAGCTTTATCTCTTATAAATTTTACATTTTCCTTTTTATAGGAGTAGTATAAAATCTACCAAGAATTTTCTTAAAATCTAAAAGGTTACATAATGATTTTTCGAAATAAACGGACGATAGCTACAGTAAATATATTTCAAGTTATAAAGGTACTCATGAAATATTGCTATATTTCACATCTTCTTTCACACAAGTACAATGAAATAGTATCTTAAACAATTTCATTGTCTTGAATCCGTTTAAATTTAAATATAATATGAGATCTATAATCACTAAACTTCAATACATGTATTTAAGGGTATAAACATATGCTTTATATATCTATGAAATGATTTTATATTTTACTTCTTCTTTCACACAAGTACAATGAAATAGTTTTTTAAACAATGCCATTGCTTTGATTAGGTGGATTTTAAATAATTTTTTCAAACTTTAAAATATTTTAAAAGTTTACATTTAGTTAGTAAATTTCATTTAATTTCCTTGAAAACATATGATTTACGTTAAATATTATTAGTTTTCAAAAATTATTATTTATAATTTTTTGCCACTTTCCGTTACCTTCTACAACTATCTATATTAGATTTTTTTTCTAAAATTATCCGCTTTACATTGATATATTATACGTCACGGGCGGCTCTACGGGGGAGGGAGGGGCTTTTGGGCTGAAGCCTCTCCCCCCCCACCCAAAATGGGAAAATATAACCATGTTTTATCGAAAAAATGATCTTTTAAAGTATTATTGTTCGTATAATTACATTTAAAAGGGCTTTAGGAATCACTTAAACACCATTTCATATAGGTAGTTAATTTCTTTCTTTTTTCCAAAGTAATTATCGTTATTTTTATAAAAATAAAAGCTTTCGGGCTGAAGCCCTTCCCCCAAAATAAAATCCTGGATCCGCTAGTGTTATACGTAAACCTTCTGACCGGTTATGTGGACTTAGGGTACCCCAAAACGCGTATTTCCGTTGAAAACTCAGTTTTAATAATTTTCTCGATCGCAAAACTTACCCATACTATGTATTACATATACACGTAAGTGAAAGTAAAAAACTATTTCATTGTACTTGTGTGAAAGGAGAAGTAAAATATAAAATCATTTCATGGATGTATAAAGCATATGTTTACAACCTTAAAGGCTCATTTACACGGTGCCAGTTGGCTTGCCATTCGAGGTCGCCAGTCACTCAATGCCAGCGACTGGCAACGTGTAAACGGTTCATGCCAGTCACTGAAGAGGCCAGCGAGGCACTGGGAAGAAAATTTTGATTGACTGGCGCACTGGCAAGCGCCTACTCGGAACTAGATATGACTAACCAGCAAAACAAATCGTTATTTTAATATGATTTTTTTTTTTTTAGTTTAATAAAAATTTATACAAACTTATAGTCCGTGGCACAGACTCCTTTTTATCAAATTTTTAACATCCGCCTGTAACTTTGTGAATAGCTTGATCTCATCATAACCTAAAACTTATGATGAAAACAGCGAATAATTTAGAGGAAAACAGCGATAGCAGAGAATACTAATAAGAACTGAGAAAGATCCTAGGAAGTAATGAGGCAAATAACTAGTATCACAGGCAGTTAGCAACTTGATACTTCACTTCCATTTTTCCTTTTCTGAAAATAAATTCCAATGTAATAGTGGATACCCAAATACCTATACGTTTGTTGCATTTCCAGAATATGGTACTTATTTGGAAACTTCGATTTTTTTATATTCCATTTTTGTCTTTACATTTAAAAAGCAATTACACTAATAATGTATAAATTATATCATAAAAACTATTATTATATGTAATAAATAAACTATTTCTCATTTTAATTTCAATATTTAAGATTTATGTTCCTAAAAATAACACTTTTTTAATGAAATAAAAATAAACAGTAAAAAAATCGTATAAACGACCTCGGACGTTGACGTCCACTCACTCCTACGATTGCTGGCCATTAATGAGGACACAATCAACAGATAGAGACTCCGAATAGGGAATTTAGTGCACCTTTTCTTTTAAAAGACAGCGGTATACCGCAAAACTGATGTATGCCTCCTCTGGCTGCCGTTGATGCCGTTAGGAACTTACTTTATCTTGAATAATATTTTAATAATAATTTTAATACTTGAATAATATAGGTGATTTTTTTCTGTTTAAAAGTAATAAGTCCATATGAAATATTACATTTAAGATAGCATATTACACCCTGTTGTATCACTATAAATTACATATAATGTAAAATATGGTATACAATGTAAAATATTATATACAATGTAAAATATTGTATACAACGTAAAATATTGTATACAATATAAAATATTGTATACAATATAAAATATTGTATTTATTCAAATGTTAGCAATATTTTGAAACGGTTCTGTTAAAATCCTAATTGACTTAAAGTCGATCTAATCAATGACCAAATGGTAATCTGAAACGAAGGACTGTATTTAAAATATTAATAATTTATCGGAGTAATTTAAAAATTTTGTGTAAAATTAATAAATTGCATTTATGAAATAATAAGTGAATTACATTTGTTACAAAGGAAAATATCATGTAGCCGAAAGGCAAGGAAGGGAGGAATAAATAAATAATCGACTATCATAAGTTATTACCCTCCATTTTAAGCTATACATTTAAGCGTTCTTTGTCATTCTCCATCATCTTCTACGATTTATTTACTTAATATAATATTCTCTAAAATCTTAATCTTTCCGCCCATACAGATAGACACTGTCATAATTAAGATGCTTTTTATCTTTTCTGGTTTCGATTTGGCATATAAGTGCCATACAAAATAAGAACAAATCTTTATCGTTTAAAGTGTTAAAAGTTATGAATAAATACAGACAGATTAGTTATAAGCAATTTAGAACTCGTGATTGCAGTGTAATCTATTACCAATATCCATAATTTGCTAAGCTTATATTACGAATATTGGCGTTCGTACAGGATATATTATTTTAAAATTTTGGTAATATTTCCTTCAGCTGATTTATAGTTAGGCATAGGTTTTCACCAATAATAAAAAAAAGGTATTTAAATAAGTATTTTGGACAATTTGTTTTGCTGGTTAGTCATACCTTGCCGAGGGTAGGGGCTTGCCAGTGTGCCAGTCAAACAAAAATATTTGTTCTACTGGCATGTACCAATTGACTGGCAGACCAGTCTCTCTCTCGTGAACTATTTACTACCTACCTCGCTATTTCTAATAGAGGGGAGTTTTGTATAGGGTTCTTCAAGAGGTACAACCAACCTATTCTAATTGGATTGGAGCTATACGCACCAAAAAAAAAAAAGAAAAAGAAATTTAATTTACTTAAAAATTTAAATGGTAAAGTATGTTTGGTGGTAAGAGAAATGTTAAATATTGTTTCTTACGTTTTATTAATTATTTCTTTTTTTTTTCTAGTTCTTGTTGCAACGTCAATCAATGTTATATCAATAAAAATGATGGCATTGATTAACTTGAAACGAAATTCCCCGCAACCTCAGTATTTTTAAACTCATATAAACATACTCTACTTATGTATTTAATATAACACGTTAGCTGCAGAGAATGATATCTCTTAAATGTGTTTTCCGACAATATCGGTCATCGGCGACCGACATTATTTATGAAGTTCCTAACGGCATCAGACGCCGGAGGAGGCATACATCAGTTTCGCGGTATACCGATGTCTTTTAAAAGAAAAGGTGAACTAAATTCCCTATTCGGAGTCTCTATCTGTTGATTGTGTCCTCATTAATGGCCAGCCATCGTAGG